AGAGCAAGACATCATCCAGTGGTTCCTATTGATCCAAAGATTGAAAGAATTGCAAGAAGACTTATCAGAGAGAGAAGAGAACGAGAGGCAATAGTCATTGAAATGGCTGAAAACAGAACTTTGAGGGAATTCTCAGTACCCTTAGTTGAAGGTAGTGGTCCAAGTATCACTAGACCACCAGTGCAAGCCAACAATTTTGAAATGAAGTCGGTAATCATCCAAATGATCCAACAGTCGGTACAATTTGGGGGAGATGCAAAGGAAGATCTAAATTCAGACATTGCTAACTTCTTAAAGATATGCGACACATTTAAGGCAAATGGAGTGTCAGATGATGCCATCAGGTTAAGATTATTTCCATTTTCATTAAGAGATAAAGCAAATGGATGGTTAATGGCACTACCAGCAGGAACAATCACCACCTGGAATGAATTGGCACAAAGGTTCCTGACTAAATACTTCCCACTAGTGAAATTAGCAAAGATGAGAAACGATATCACATCATTTATGTAGGAAGAGAACGAGTCACTTTATGAAGCATGGGAGAGATATAAGGAACTGCTGAGAAAGTGTCCACACCATGGTTTGCCTATTTGGATGCAAGTCCAAACCTTCTATAATGGGTTGTTGACAAATGTGCAAACAATGGTGGATGCAACATCTGGAGGAGCATTGCAAAACAAGACACCTGAAGAAGCTTATGAGTTACTTGAAGTCCTGGCAAGTAACAACTATCAGAGACCCAATGAAAGAATTCATCCGAAGAAGTCATGGGTATTCATGAAGTTAATGCTTACACGACCATTTTAGCCTAACTAACAGCACTTTAGAAACAATTAGGAGGTATGCAAGTAAATTCAATTCAAACACCTTAAGTAACATGCAATTTTTGCGCAGGTAACCTTGCGAGCATTAAATGTCAAGTGGGGAACAATTTTGCTTTAGCTTCCTCATCATCAGAACAAGTCAACTATTTGGCTGGGAATCAGAGACAATAGAACAATCCTTTCTCCAACACGTACAATCCTGGTTGGAGAAATCATCCAAACTTGTCCTAGGGCAATCAGAATAATCAATGGAATCAAATAACAGTGCCAAACAATCAAGTAAGGGTGAACCATCAACCATGGGATCAAAGAGTGTCGAAATTGGAGGATATGTTCGAGAAGTTCATGCAAGAGACCATAGGTTTTATGAGTGAGACGAGGGCGAATTTCAGAAAACAAGGGGCGTCAATTCGAAACTTGGAAGACAAATGGGTCAAATAGCCAAAAAGTTGAATGAGCAACCTCAAGGCTCCCTACCAAGTAACATAATGACAAATCCACGTGAACAAGCAAATGCAATAACTTTAAGAAGTGGAACAGTCTTGGAAGAGGTTAAGCAAAAAAGGAAAGATGAGAACCCACCAAAAGAAAAGGAAGAGTCTGATGAAGAAATCGAGGAAGAAATCATTGTCGAGGAAAAGCCAACGAGTCCCAGAGAAGAAGAACCAAAGAGGGAAGAGATGTCAAAGCAAAAGAAGGAAAAATTACCATTTCCTAAGATACCGCTAGAGTTGTCACATCATACCCCTCATGTGCCTTTTCCTCAGAGACTCAGAAAGCAAAATCAGGATAAGCAGTTCATGAAATTCCTTGAGATATTTAAAAAACTGCACATTAACATTCCTTTTGCAGATGCCTTACAGTAGATGCCAAGCTACGCTAAGTTCCTCAAGGAAATTCTGTCAAACAAAAGAAAGTTGGAAGATGAGGAAACAATGATGCTTACAGAGGAGTGCAATGTCATTCTACAGAAGAAGCTGCCTCCAAAACTCAAGGATCCAAGGAGTTTCACTATCCCTTGTGTTATAGGAGATATTGCATTTGATAGAGTTTTATGTGATCTGGGTACGAGTATTAATCTAATGCCTTTTTTTGTTTTCAAGAGACTAGGGATTCGTGAAGTGAAGCTTATAACTATATCTTTGCAGCTTGCAGATTGATCCATCAAGTATCCAAGGGGTATTGTTGAAGATGTACTGGTTAAGGTGGACAAAGTCATATTTCTGGCAGACTTTGTTGTGTTGGATATGGAAAAAGACAAGGAGATTCCTCTCATCTTAGGATGACCATTTCTTGCTACCGGAAGAGCCTTAATTTATGTAGAAGAAGGGAAGTTGATCCTAAGGGTCCAACATGAAATGGTGACATTTAATGTCTTTGAGGCCATGAAACTTCCATCAGAGTCAGATTCATGTTTTAGTGTGGATTTGGTGGATAGACTTGTAGCGGATACCATCAAAGAGAACACCTCTCATCTACCTTTAGAAGCTTGCATTGCCCAATCCAAAACAACCGAGGTAGACGAGCCAAAGAAGAATGAGTGTGCTAGGCTTTTGGAAGCACTTCAACCGATAAAGACAAGCCAAGATCCAGAATTTGAAGATTTTGACATAGAAAAAAAGAAGGAAAAGGCAAGAACGGAAGAACCTCTAAAGCTTGAACTGAAGCCTTTACCATCTCACCTTAAATATGTGTATCTTGGTGAATCAGAATCCTTTCTAGTGATCATCAATGCAAGGCTGAGTAAAGTGGAGGAAGGGAGGTTGATTCGAGTGTTAAGAGAGTATAAATCAGTCATTGGATGGACCATTTCTGACATTAAAGACATTTCTCCATCTTTTTGTATGCACAAGATACTCATGGAAGATGATGTCAAGCTTAGGGTGCAACCGCAACAGAGATTGAATCCTTCTATGAATGAAGTGGTGAAAAAGGAAGTGGTAAAACTCTTGGAGGCAGACATCATCTACCCTATTTCAGATAGTCCTTGGATGAGCCCGGTGCAAGTGGTTTCAAAAAAATAAGGTATCACGGTAATAAAGAATGAAAGCAATGAATTGATACCGACTAGGACAGTCACGGGCTGGAGGGTGTGCATCAACTACAGGAAGCTGAATGAAGTAACAAGAAAGGATCATTTTCCACTTCATTTCATTGATCAAATGTTAGAAAGACTTGCGAGGCATGCATATTATTGTTTCTTGGATGGCTATCAGGCTATAATCAGATTCCCATTGCCCTTGAAGATCAAGAAAAGATGACATTCACTTGTTCATATGGTACCTTTGCTTACAGAAGGATGCCTTTTGGGTTGTGCAATGCACCTACCACATTCCAGTGGTGCATGATATCGATATTCAGTGACATGGTGGAGCGGTTCATAGAAGTCTTCATGGATGATTTCTCTGTATTTGTTTCTTCTTTTGATAGTTGCCTATCTAACCTTTCCTTTATTTTGCAGCAATGTCAAGATACAAATCTGGTGCTCAACTGGGAGAAGTGTCACTTCATGGTTCAAGAAGGAATAGTACTCGATCACCAAATTTCAAAGAATGGCATTGAAGTGGATCGAGCCAAAACAGAAGTGATTGAGAAACTGCCACCACTTGCAAATGTCAAGGCAGTCCGGAGTTTCTTGGGGCATGCGGGGTTCTATAGAAGATTTATAAAGGATTTCTCCAAAATCTCTAAACCTCTTTGCAATTTGTTGATTAAAGATGCCTCTTTTGATTTCAATGATGAATGCATGCATGCTTTTCAAACTCTTAAGAAATTATTAGTGTTTGTACCCATTAGTGCAGTTCCCAATTGGGAACTCCCATTTGAATTGATGTGTGATGCTAGTGATTTTGTATTAGGAGTGGTTTTAGGACAAAGAAAGAATAAGGTTTTGCATGTAATTCAGCATGCTAGCAAGACACTAACCGATGCATAGTTGAATTACTCCAATACTGAAAAAGAGCTTTTAGCCATCATTTTTACATTTGACAAATTTCGCTCTTATTTGCTAGGTTCTAAGGTGATTGTCTACACAGACCATTCAGCGCTCAAGCACCTACTGGGAAAGCAAGAAGCAAAACCAAGGCTAATAAGATGGATCCTACTACTGCAAGAGTTTGAATTGGAAATCCGAGACAAAAAAGGGTCAGAAAATGTGGTAACAGATCATCTATCAAGGATTGAACAACCAGCACAGGGAAGTGAAAAGGAAACTCAAATCAAGGAGACATTCTCGGATGAGAAATTGATGAGAGTTGAAGAAGCACCTTAGTATGCGGATATTGCAAATTACTTATCATCAAGAGTGCTTCCAAATGGCATGACTTTCCAACAAAAGGAGAATTTTTTCTCTGACTTGAAATTCTATTTCTGGGAAGAACCGTTTTTGTATAAACACTGTGCATATAAGATGATACGAAGGTGTGTCCCTAAAGAGGAAATAGAGAATATTTTAAGGTATTGCCATGAGAAGGATGTCGGTGGTCACTTTGGAGGAACTAGAACAGCAGCTAAGGTCCTTCAATCTGGATTTTATTGGCCAAGTCTATTCAATGACGCTTTCCGATTGGTTCAGGATTGTGACCAATGTCAACAGAGTGGAAATATTTCAAGGAGATTGAGATGCCGTTGAGTAACATTTTAGTCGTTGAACTTTTCGACGTGTGGGGGATTGACTTCATGGGCCCTTTCTTGAATTCATATGGAAATCTGTACATCTTGGTGGTTGTTGACTATGTGTCGAAATGGGTGGAAGCAGTTGCATTACCCTTTAACGATGCCAAAGTGGTGGTGAACTTTCTGAGGAAAAACATTTTCTCAAGATTTGGAGTACCACGGGCAATCATCAGTGATGGTGGAACTCATTTTTGCCATAGGCAGTTTGACACTCTCCTAGGAAAATATGGAGTGACACATAAAGTTGCTACACCATACCATCCTCAGACCAGCGGGCAAGCGGAACATTCAAACAAGGAGCTAAAAGGAATTCTAGAAAAGACGGTTAAGGCATCTATGAAGGACTGGTCACGAAAGTTAGATGATGCATTGTAGGCATACCGTATTGCGTTTAAGACTCCAATTGGTATTTCTCTGTTCTGTTTGGTGTATGGGAAGACATGTCACTTGCCGGTGGAACTCGAGCATAAGGCATATTGGGCAGTCAAGCAGCTAAACATGGATTTACAAGCTACTGGGGATGAAAGAATGCTGAAATTGAATGAACTTGATGAGTTTCGTCACGAAGCTTATGAAAATGCTCGTATTTACAAAGAAAATACCAAGATGTGGCACGACAAGCATATAATGAAGAAAAACTTTGAAGTGGGTCAACAAGTACTGCTTTACAATTCTAGACTTAGACTCTTTCCCGGAAAACTTAAGTGTAGATGGTTCGGACCCTTCATAGTTACCCAAGTCTACCCATATGGAGCTGTTGAGATCTCACATGAGGAAAATGGTACATTTAAGGTGAATGGGCAGCGATTGAAGTCATATATAGATGGAGCTTTGAGTTGCGAGTCACTGCCTATCAAACTCGACATTCTGGAATGAGATCCCTGGGAAAAGTCGAGCTTCCAACTATAAACAAGCGCTTTTTGGGAGGCAACCCAAGTGTTTTTCAATTGGACTATTTTTTTGATGTTTTTATTTTTTTATTATTTTTTATTATTATTTTATTTTGAAAGTGTTTTTGTTGAGTTAGAAGATAGTTAATTGATGTTGTTTGCATTGTTTCAGGTGAAAATCTACAGCTTTGAAGAAGAAAACATTAAGTCCAGTTTTCACCCCGACGAATTCAATTTTCGCCGCGGCTTGAAATTTTCTTGATGCTGCCGAGAGAAACATTAAGTCCAATTTTCGCCCCAGCATGAAATCTATTGGATGGAGAAGAAATTAGTTCAGACTTCGCCGCGGCATGAAATTCACTATAAGTATGGACAAAATTTTGCAATTTTTCGCCATGACAATTTTTAATTTCTCCGCGGCATTGAGAACTCAAGGTTAATTATTGCATATGAAACCCAGGTTTCGCCACGGCGAACACAAACTATTATTTAAACAACAAAATTTCCTTCACCTTTCTTCACACAATCAAACCCTAGCCATCATAGTACATCCCTTTCTTCTAAAGTCTTTTGCCCTTCCCAAGCTTTTCCACTACAAATCACACATCTCCCAATCTCCTGAACAACCTTCATTATTATTTTCGCACGATTCATAAGGACATTTGCAAACTCTTGGCGAAAACCCAAAGTTTCTGACAACAAAATTTGGGGCTTTTACGGTTTTGAGCCAATGTGGTGTGATTGAAAATTGATGCTCGGTTGATTTGGTAAGGAATCTTGCCTTACACTGTTAATTTATTGATTTTGAATGTTAACCAATGGATTTTCCAAGTTCATTGAACGTTGAGTTGTGGGGGTTCTTGGAGTTGTGAATTTGTGGCCTTGTTGTGTGATTTTAGGTGTTTTATTGTTTGTTGTGAAGACTCTTTGGTCGTTGATTTGTGTTGGGGTGATTTAGATAGGATTGGGTCTATGACAATTTTGAGTTAATTGTGTGGAGAAGTGTGAAATTTGGAGTTGTTTGTAGTACATTTTCGTGAAGTTTTGTGTGGGTTGAAAGTGTGGGATTTGCTGAATAACAAGAAAATGCCTTTTAAGAGAATGGCTAAAAGAAAGCAAGTGGACAATAGATTTGCAAATGATAGGGCTAGAGAGCAGTATGAGGCTAAGGCCAAGAGGAAGGATGGAAAAATCATTCCTGAGAGGGGGTTAGATGCTCTTTATGCTTCCGATTGGGCTGAAGAATTAGATTGGCTCACTTTCGTGAAGGAACGATCGCAGCTAGCCTTGGAACCACTTGTTAAAGAATTTTATGCAAACCTCATAGAGAGTCAACACGGTTGTGTGTATGTTAGGGGTTTGCAAGTGTCGTTTACTACACAAATTATCAACGATTTTTATGGGTTGCACCCAATTGAGCAAGATGAGTACAAACTGTACAAGAACAATCTAGATTGGGACGAGATACTTAGGGTCATTGCCAAACCAGACGCTTCTCGGAATGTTAGTCTGAAAGGAACAAGAAAATTGAATGGGAGCGATCTGACTGTGGTGGCACGGATTTGGCAATATTTCATCTATGCAAGGTTAATGCCCGAGACACATTTCAGTTCATTAAATGCGGAGAGGGTAGTCCTGCTCTACTGCATCACTACAAAGAAGAAGATGAATGTTAGAGAGATCATTTTCGATTACATAAAGCATGCAGCAAAGCTTAGTCGACCAAATTATGCCTTCCTAAACCTTATCACAGACATCTGTAAAAAGGAAGGGGTGACATCTTATCCTGATGAGATAACCATTCATGCAGCGCCGATTCTTAACGCGGCATTCTACTATAAGCTGGCTGGAAAATAGAGTGGCAGAGCATCGAGTATAGGTACAAGTGTTCAACGATCGAGAGCAGCTGCAACCACATCCAAACTGATAGTAAATGATCAATTACAACAACTCCAAGCTAAGATGAAGACAATGAAGCTGCAACAAGCATGGATGAGTGATAAAATGAAGAAGATGTTCGAGATGCAGCAGCATGTCTACAACCTTCAGGGTTATGATGTAACACAATTCCAATGGCAAGATTGGAATGAATATAGTGAACAACACCCTAAAGATGCCATGGAAGAAGATGAGGAGGCAGACAAAGAAGAAGCAGAAGAAGATTGATTCCTGAAACACCTTTGTTTTGGTTTTAGTTTTTATTTCTTTTTATGTTGTTAATTGGAACTAATGTTGATTTCCTGTTTTTAACTCTTTATGTGTGTTTGTTTCAATTTTAGGTTTAGTTCAATAAGGTTGAGATCAGTATGTAATACTTTCATATTAATTAGTAAAGATATCTAACACAATTGGCAACCTAGATTTTCATTTGTTTGACAAATGAGGACGACGAGGAAGCCAAGGATTGGATGCTAGGATTTTGCACAAGAATCAGCCTTCACGGATTAATTAAGGGAGTATCTTTTACATTTTGTTTTTCTACTCCTTAGATGTGCATGATGTGACATTGAGGACAATGTCATTCTAAGTTGGGGGTAGAAGATATTTTGATTTAATAAAAAAAAAAAAATTTGTGTTTAGATAGTTGTGTGTTTTAGCTTGAATTTGTGTTTCTTTTTGTTTTAAGTTCTTTGATCGTTATTGTGTTTAATTTATCTTTGTTTGTGTTTTGTTGTTGTTCCCTAGATAAATTGCACAAGTTTATGATGAGATGTTGATTGTTGGGATACTATCAGAAAATGCGAAGCATTGCTTCAAGTTAGGTTGGTTGACTAGATTGATCTAGAAGTTTGTTGAGTGGTTCAACCACCATTTTCAATCTTTTGGCATGTTTAGATTCATTTTATGTAGTTAGGTGAAATCTTGATAATGTTGGTAGACTCTAGAACCTATTTGAGAAGTGCTTGAGGCGAAATTCTAGGATTAGACATTATTGAGGAAATGATTTAGACAATTTTTCAGAACGTTTGAGTCTTTCTAGCCAACCCATGAATGAATTATCCCTAGTCACCAATTTGAGCCGTATGAGATTATCATTGCCTTATTTTTCTTGCAAACCAAAAAAAAAAATTGTCCAATCCCTATACCCTAAACACTAATCATACCCTTTAAGAGAATTATGGACCTAATATATGACACAACAGAGATTGGAGAGGTGTGTGAATAAGTGATGGACCAAGTGAATAAGTGATGGACCAAAAGCATAAGTTTGGGTTGTAAAAAAGGTAGGAAGAAGGGGCAATAGACCTCAATGGTGTTATAATAGTTGTTTATTAAAAAAAAAAAAAATTAAAAATATTTCTTTAGTTCAATTCAAAATCAAGAATAAGAAATGCATAAGTTTGAGGGTTGTAAAATGGTTGACACTTTGATTGGTGGTAAAGAAAGAAAGTGGAGATTGATGTAGCTCTTAGTGTTTGCATGAGGAAAAACGAGTTCTCTTACTTTGTTTATCCTATCCTTTCCATGGAGTCCAATACCCGAGTAAAACGTTAAAAGCTTGCAAAGACCTTTTGATCCTTAGTGATGTCTAGTCCACATTAGTGGAGAGTTGTTCGATACTTAGGCTTACGGAGTCTACCACCATTTGATAAACTTCACATTCCTGCATAAAATAATCCGAGGAGTCAAAAGGTGAATTGAAGTGGGGATCACCGACTCAGGGGACCGATAGAGAAAGATAATCAATTCAATTATGATTTCTTGGAGTGTTGAGTATTTTCCCGTAATAGTATTTCAACAGTTTTTGAGACTTGCATTTTAAATCAATTCCAAGTTACTTGTCTATTTTTTGCAGTTTTCCTCTTTGGTCGTTTTGGTTTAAGTTTGTTTTTCCTTATGTTTGTTTTGTTGTTTTTGTTGTTGATGCTCGAGGACGAGCATATCTTAAGTTTGGGGGTATTTGATAATCCATGGATTATACTATTTTTCTTTGCTATTTGGTAGGATTTTCGAATACTTTCCTTTGCTTTTAAGCTTGAACTACCACTTTATTCGTTCATTTCATATTTCAGGTCAGAAACACATTTCCAGATTGAAACAGAAAAACGAGGTCAATCGATTCAAACTCGAGAGTTTTCACAGTCAGGAATGTTCGAAGGTTGATTGGAAGCACCCTTGAAGCTCAAATGAAAGAGAAGGAAAGAGAAAACCGGAGATTCAAGCATTGGAGCATGTTGAGCTCTTTATTTACAGTCTATATTCCGATTTTCTTTAATTTGAATATGAACTAACTCACTTTTGGGTTAGGGTTTTGATCTAACTTGGATTACAATGGTTTAATCTATAAATAGATGTTGTTTTTAAGTTCTATTGCTTGGATTATGTGTTTATTCTTGTTTTTAATGCAATTGAATGTTGAGTTTTCTTTGGTTCAATTAAATGTTGAGCATGATGAGACTGAGAAGTGATTCATGTGTTAGCCCCTCAGAGTAAATACCATAGATTGAATGAACGCTAGAGATAGGTTCGGAGATCTATGAAATCACTTTAGGATTCCACTTGGCTTAATAGACTTTGAAATGTTATTCTTCATTTTGTTGGGGGCGGAAGCTTAATCGGGATAAGTAGGAGAATATAGCCCGAGAAGATATATTCTGCAGATTGAGGTGTCTGATTTATAATCCTTGCATATGAGTTTGAAGGCAACAACAACCGTAGATTGAATCAGAGTATCCTAGTGAAGTCGAAATCCTAACTTCTTTGTCTTGAATTGATATTTTCAAAATTAATTGATATTTTCTTAATTAGTTAGATTTTAATTTACATTATTGATTTTGTGTTAATTTCTGCTTTTAATGTCTTCCGCAAATCCAACAATCTTCATGTTCTTCAACTAGTTACAAAACTAGGAAAATTAGTACTTAACACGCAATCCTCGTGAGAACGATACTCTTCTCATCATTTTATTACTTTTTGCGACTAGTGCACTTGCTACATTGCATGTTAGTCAACATACGCATTAAAAATATTGGCAGGATCATATGGGATGTAACAAGCAACATCTCTAATGTATTGCCTAGTATCACTTCCCAAAAGTACATCAACAAGGAAAACTGAGCATCAGACACTCTCCACTTTAACTTTTCTAAAGGAAATAATCCTAGACATCCAAATGACAAACTGAACCAAGAATATTCGTGGCTTGCATATCAGAATCATGAATCATTATAAAGTGAAAAGTTTCTAACACCCCTAGCACAATTTCCTCATTTATTTCATGGATGGCCTTTACAAACCAGGGTTATAAATGAGATGTACACAGATTGATGAAAATTGCTTTCAAAAAGCATCATTTCCATCAACTTAAAAATTGAACCTCCTTGTAGTTGATGGCGCACTAAAATTTCTTATAGGAGCAAAATGCTTCTCAGCCTTACTTGATCCACGAAGACACTCAAAGGAATCTTGTCATAACTCTAGAAAATCCTTCATGGCATATGAGAAGCAAAAACTATAATTGTCAAAATCAAATGATTTCAGTAATCAAGGTGAAGACATTTTATTACTGCATAGGATACTTCACTCCCCATTGGATTTCGGCTTTCATTATGCCTTGATGGTCTACTTATGTAACTTCATCTTATTTAATTTACTATTATAATTTCGAGTTAAGGCTTATTTGACATGACACAAACAACACACTAACCTGTTTTCCCAACCATACTTCTCTCTACATCTAGATGTTACTTTCAAACCCATTTTCCTCTTTGCTCTTTATTTTCCCAATAGGATAATGTATGACTAGGGTTTTAGAAGCCTACTTTTTTTCATTCTAATTCCATCCCCAAAATTGTCTGGTCAAACTAGTTGTGGTTTAGAAATGGTCCATAGGTAGAAATTAGATAGATGTAAGAAGACAAGGCCACAAGCTTCTTGTTTCTACTTCAACATTGCTCCTCATCCTCTTGACACTCAAACCAAACAAATAAATGACCTCTATTTTCTTAACATCTTGCTATTCTCCCTTTGTCTCTACAACTTTGGTCCCACCATATCCATTACATCTCTGCTGAAGAGTAATGCTACATTTATACCACCCATTACATCATTTTCATTACACCATCATCATTTTATTAATAATTATTTTATTATAATATTAAAAATTTAAAATAATTAAAAATTTATGTGGATGTGAGATATGCCACATCATGGTGTAATAAAAATGGTGTAATGAGTGGTGTAAATGTAGCATTACTCCTCTGCTGAAACCCTCATTTTATTTACCAGCAATACATGTAATAAAAAATGTGAAAGCTAGTACAATTTGGGTTGCCTATAAGATAAGTTGGAAAAGGATATGTTCCAGCAAATACAGAAGAATAAACAATATAATAATTCATTCAATTATAATGAACTACAAAATCTGAAATTGAAAATAAAAATTCAAAATAAAAAAACCAACCAAGACAATGATCCTCACAATTGGGATGAACATATAAAAAATGCAACAATTTTGAAGCTATATAACAGAACTATATAGTAATACATACACTGATTTTCTGATGAGTTCCATCTCTATATATTGCATCGATCATAACCAGAGAACCATGATGAGGGTTCTGCAAGTTTCGATAACTCGCTGTCTTCAGTATAAAATAGCTTGAATTCCTCTCTCCATTGCTGATCACCTTCATCATGAGGCTCCTTTACATTGTACTTGGCCGCATCAGAATCATTATAAATAGGTTGTATTGCTTCTTTGGGTAGACGAGGCTCTACTATGATTTCATTAAGAGTCCTAATATCAATTTCATGTTTTTTCTTCAATTGATCAATCTGTTTGTATGCCTTTGCAGTTTCTTGTTCAGCTTCTATAGCTCGCTTCTGAAAAAAAGAAATATAGAAAAAAGTATAAAACAAAATGTATCATTTAGAAATCAAACAAAAACTAAAGGATCTAAATCAATTAACAACAAATGTATATGAGAATGAGCAAAGATCAGTTAGCTTTCTCTCAAGTGAGGATTCTATTCATGACTGCCAAAAATCCTACATGTTCTAAAATCTGTGTCACTCCCACAGAGACAAATGAGTGGCCTTAAAACAAAAACATAGTGTGCTAAAAAATAGTACGGGAAAAATAACTATCCTAATCAAACAAAGGAATAATGTGCTCATAAATCCTCCGAGATATAGTAAAATCCCCATCACATAACAAGTAATGCAATTTCTATACACCTTGAAGTAAAAATATATCACAAAAATAAAAAGCAAGAGGTGAGCTTTTCATGATAGAAAAAATTATCTGAACAAAGCAGGAGGCACACCTGGGCAGCTGCAACAGCTTCTTCTGCTTCTTTGAGCCGTACAAGTACTTCACCTGCAGCTTGTATAGCTTCAGCAGTATCCCGCAATTGAGCTTGAAGCCCTTTATACTCATCCCTGAGATATCTCCTCTCTTTCTCTCTTTTAGCTTTCAATGCTGAAATTTCAGCTGCAAGAGCATTTATGAACTTAGATTCAGCACCCATTACTCCTGTTCTAGTAGCCGCTTTCTTAACATCATCTATTCCTTCCTGAATCTTTCTATGCCTTGCAAGCAATTGAATATGCTTTTCCTCAAGATCTGAATAAAGTTCTAGCAAGCGTGCATGTCCCTCCATAGCCATCTGCATTGCTTCCTTCAACTCTTCTGTACATTGCTTTTCAGCATCAAGTTCCTGTTTTTGCTTTTCTTCTAAGGACATGCTAGCTTCAAGTTTGATCCTCAATTCTTCTGCAAGAGATATCCACTTGCTCTCTACCTCAGTCCAGTGGATTCTTTCTCGTTCAAGTTTCTCCTCAGCACTATTTTCGGCTGACTCTGGGATTGTAGTCAGAGGTAGTGCTAGATTGGGATCACATGAATAAGTCAATTGCAAAATTGATTTTTGTTTTCGAGCAGATAATGAAGAAGAGTCTATATAATATTGTAACTCGCTTCTTAAATCTTGAATCCCTTCCAACAACACTTCCCTTTCATCCAAATCACAGAAATTCCGATAATGTTCCAGTTGCTCTTGAGCTATATTGAGTTCAATTTTTGTCCTTAAAATTTCAAGATGACTCTCAAATTTTTCCTTCAGAAGCTGTAAAAAATAAGGTCAGATATATGCACAAAATATTAATTAATGTTATCTTTAGAAATAAATTTATACTTTGGTAAATAACCATTCTACCTCAAAGCTTAAGTTCATAAGTAACAACCTAATAAAAGTATTTAAAAGCTACAATAATACCCGTCACGTATCTCATAGTGAAATGGATGCAAACACAAATGCAAACTAAATAAATATACAATTACATATGAAAAATGAAAACATGTGAAACTTGTAGGGATTTGTAAGTGAGTGTTTAGCTTTACTACTATGTTAAGTAGATTTGTAACCAAAAACTTAGGCTAATATATTTTTTAGCTCTAACATACCTTATGCTCATGCATGAGGTATACAAATTATTCTTCAATGAAATCCTCAATTGGCAAAACACCATAAATAAGGCTTTCAAGGCGCATTATTTTATCCTCCCTTGTCTGTCCTATAATGGCATTGCATTCTCTTCCATGCTTGTACTGTTGCACCTGCAAAGAAAAGCAGAAAAATGTCACCAATGAAAAAACAAAAAAAGAAGAAAAAGAAAGCATTATATAGTCATTGCTATTTGTTGGTAAAACTAGTAAAAAAACATACCAAACGATTAAGGTGCTTAATTTCAGAAGTTTGCTTGGCACAGAAGTCATCTAGTGCCATTTCCCTCCTAATGGCTCCTGCCAAAACCTTCTCAACTGCCTGAGCGAAAAAGAAACATGTATATGCAAGCAGTCATGATGTTAAATTAATCCAAAATGCAGCTGAAATCATTATACTTACTTTTGGAACTTGCTTCATGTACTTGTCCGCAGAGTGTGAGTCAACAAAAGGTGCCAACTGAATATTTGAGCTCTCATTCCCCTCTTTGACATCTAGCCGCATTCTGTTCTTGCAATGGTTATATAAGAATAATTTTGTATCTTCTTTTGGCATCTCACCATTTTGAGAAGTTTGCACACCGATGTCAACTTTGGCAACGGGCAAAACTGGTTTAAATCAGTGGGTCTTAATGAGAACCTGTTGATGTTTGTACACCGGAGATTAGAAGAAAAGAAAGAGAGCAATTTGAGAGTAAAGAGAGTTGTGTATATTCTCGATTTTCAAATGAGTTTTCATTACAACTAATAAAGCAAAAGTCAGACTGTTTACACCAACTTTGCAGTCATATTATAACCTGAATTAATCTAAAGCCACACACTTAATACCAACTAACAACAACTATTGCAACACATCCCTTATAACCTGGGAATACATATCTACCATTACAAACTAAGTTATACTTGCTGCATCTCAAAATGGACAGCCGGCAGATTGTCTTTCAGTTTTGCCGCCAAATCATGTTCAAAAAACCAACCAGTAAACTGCTGCATTTCTAGCCAAGTATCAATGTTCAACACTCCTCCTTGATGGTTGGCTAGAAACACCAAGTCTGAATCTGAATTCTTCAAACTTGGCTTTGGAGACAGCTTTGGTCATAATGTCAGCCACTTGTGATTCACTCCTGTAATGCATCAGTTTCACTTCACCATTTTGTTTAGCCTCTCTCACTGCATGAAACTTTATTTTTATGTGTTTTGTTCGTCCATGGTGCATTGGATTTTTGGCCATAGCTACTGCAGATTGATTGTCACACATGATGGCAGTAGGCTTGATCTGTTTCAGCTTCAAATCTTCAAGGATCTTCCTTAGCCAAATGGCTTTATTCATAGCTGCAGCAGCAGATATATACTCTGCTTCTGCTGTGGATTGAGCCATGGTTTCTTGCTTCCTGGAGAGCCAACAGATAGCACCATGATTTAAGAAAAATGCAAATCCAAAAGTGTTCCTCATATCATCTGTTGAACCAGCCCAATCACTGTCGGAATAACCAACTAATTTGAAGTCTTCCGATCTCTTGAACCACACCCCAAAGTCAGTGCTACCTTTTACATATCTCAGCACCCTTTTTGCAGTCTTGAAGTGTGTCTCAGTTGGCTGACTCATAAACCTGGACAGCAAGCTAGTGGCATACATCAAATCTGGTCTAGTTGTTGTCAAGTATAGCAGACACCCTATCAAACTTCTTTACAATCCTTCATCAACCTTCTCACCATTATCATCTTTTGACAGTTTCAAATTAGGAACCAATGGCAAATCCATTGGTTTGCAATTCTCCATGCAGATTTTTTTCAGAACTTCATTTGCATACTTTTTTTGATTCACAAAGATGCCATCTACCTCTTGATCAATTTTCATTCCAAGAAAGTAGGACATTCCACCCAAGTCAGTCATTTCAAACTCACTTTTCATGGATTTCTTGAACTCATCCACTTGTGCTTGATTACTTCCAATTACTAGAAGATCATCCACATACAGAGAAATGATCATCACATCATCTTCAGCTTCTCTAGTGTATAGAGTATATTCATTTAGACTCCTAACAAAGTCTAAGTTGAGCAGGTGGTCATTGATCTTGCTGTACCAGGCCCTTGGTGCCTATTTTAGGCCATACAAGGCCTTCTTCAGCAAATACACTTTTCCCTCTTCTCCTTGGATCACATACCCTTCAGGTTGTTCAATGTAAATTTCCTCATTTAACCAGCCATTCAAGAAGGCAGATTTTACATCCTGGTAAACTTTCTAGGAGAATTTAGCTGCCACAGTAAGTAGCAGTCTGATAGTGTCATGCCGAGCAATTGGAGCAAATGTTTCTAGGAAATCCACTCCATATTGTTGAGCAAATCCCTTAACCACAAGCCTGGCCTTATGCTTCAAAACTGACCCATCTGGATTTACCTTTTTTCTGAAAATCCATTTCACTTGAATCACCTTTCTGTTTTCTGGTCTGTCCACCAACTTCCAGGTCTGATTTTTTTCAATCATTGCAAGCTCCTCCTTCATGGCAATCCTCCAAGGTTCTGACTGTGCAGCCTTTGTATAGCTTGAAGGTTCCATTTGTGCCAAGTTACATTTGTCATATACATCAACTAGTCACATACATCAGCTAGAGTCCTAGTTCCTCTAACAGCAACCTCTTCATCTGATTCCTCCCTTGAGTCTTCTTCAATTTGATCAGCTTGAACTTCACTCATTTGAGGTTTTGTTTTTGCATTAGCTTTGCATTTTTTCCAATTCCAGACTCCACTCTCATCTATTGTGACATCCCGGGACACCACTACTTTCCTTAAGTCATGAATGTAAATTCTGTAGGCTTTGGATTGGCTACTATAGCTAATAAATATTCCTGTCACTGCCTTATCCTCCAGCTTTGTCCTCTTTGCAGATGGCACCAGGACATAGCATATGCTCCTAAAAATTTTCAATTCATCCACTGCTGGTCTCACTCCAGTCCAAGCTTCAAAAGGTGTTTGATTACTCAAGGCTTTAGTAGGAAGTCTGTTGAGTAAGTAGACACTTGTGTTTACAGTCTCTGCCCAAAAGAATTTGGGAAGATTTTTTTCAGCCATTAAGCATCTTGCCATTTCCATAACTGTCCTGTTTCTTCTCTCACAAACTCCATTCTATTGTGGAGTATAGGGGCTGTTGAATCGATGTCTAATTCCAGCTTCTATGCAGATTTTTTCAAACTCTTGAGAAGTGTATTCAGTGCCATTATCACTTCTCAAGGTTTTAATGGTTTTTCCTGTGTGGTTTTCCACTTCCAGTTTGAATCTTTTGAACACTCCAGCAACCTCATTTTTCTGCCTTAGAAAGTAAACCCAGCCCATCCTAGACCAATCATCTATGAACAATACAAAGTACTTGCTCCCATTAAGTGATGAGGTTTGCATGGGGCCACACACATCCGAGTGAACAAGCTAGAGTTTTTCAGAAGCTCTCCATGCTTGATTCACTGGAAAGGGTTTCCTACTCATCTTGCCTAATTGACACACTTGACAGACACCTCTCGGTTGTTCAACAATAGGTAGATTTTGGACTAAGTTTTTTGACTGCATTTCCTTTAGATTTCTATAATGTACATGGCCTAATCTCTTGTGCCATATTTCAGTTTCATCCTCTCTAACATTACATGCTTTGTGTGGTGTAACTCTCCACATAATTGGAAAACTTTTCCCTACCATTTTCACTCTCATAATCTCATTTCCCTCATTGTCTTGGATAATGCAAGATTGGTTTTGAAAGTGTAATGCATAATCCTTTTCCAACATTTGTCCCACACTCAAAAGACATTGACTTATATTAGGTGCATAAAGTACATTTGAGATTAGTTTTGTACCTTTTGGAGTTTGAATTGCAACATCTCCTTTACCTCTTGCTTCCACACATTCTCCATTTCCAACTTTAATCCTTGACCAATGAGAATGATATATGTTCACAAAGCTGTTCAAATCTGGTGTCATATGATGTATGCATCCAACTGTCAATCAACCAAGTATCATCACAAGCTTAGATCAAGTTAGATGAGGCCACAAACAACTGTTTAGTCTCCTGCCCTGGTTGTTGTTCATCAGCTGTTTGAGCTTGTTGTTGGGATTGCTCTCCCTTGTTTTTGCATACTCTTTCAATGTGGCCAAAATGTTTGCAGGCCCTACATTGTATACCAGGTCTGAACCAGCATTTGTGCTCTGCATGTCCTTTTCTTTTACAATAAGAAGCAGCCGAAAAATTCTTCATCCTACCAGCTTTGTTCCATTGGTTATTGGACCTTTCTTTTCCTCTCTTTTCTCCAGCAAACCTTCTGTAGTTCCCTTGTACAGACTTGCCCTTATGAGTTGCTAACATTGCCCCTTCATTTGCATTATCTAGCCTTAGGAGCCTTCTCTGCTCTTGTGCCTGCAGAGCATGGACCAGCTCAGTCAATGTGATCTGAGTCAGGTCCTTTGAGTCCTCCAAGGATGAGATCTTTGCTTCAAACCTTTCCGGCAAGCCACCATCACCTTCCCCACTATTCTGCTGTTTGACATCTCCACACCAAGTAGTCTGATTTTGCTAACAATATTCATTAGCCTATTAACATATTCCTTCACTTTCTCAGCCTCCTGCATTCTTAATGTTTCAAACTCCCTTCTCAAATTTAGAACCTACATGTTTCTTGTAGTATCACTTCCCATGAACTCCTCCCTTAACTTGTCCCATGACTCTTTGGCTATTACGCATGCCATGATCCTTGTAAAAACAAGGTCTATGACAACTGAGTGAATTTGGGACAAGGCTCTTGGAGCCTTCGAAGCTTCTTCTTCATGCATTCAGATTTCGTTGAGAGTGGGATTTGGTCCCAACTGAGGGGGTTGTTTCTCTTCTTCTACGTACTGCTAGAGTCCTTGGCCCCTCAAGTATGCTTTCATTTTGACGGACCATATATGGTAGTGTTCACCATTGAACACAGAAGGTAGAAGAGAAGCTGTCGGAGTGG